GCAAGGCAAGTGAACACTGGGACGAGGAGAAGGCATCCCGCATGCAGAAGCCCAACCTACTGGGTAATCCGCCGGTGAACGAATCTGTTGTGGAAGAAAGGTCGAAGTAGGCGATGATGAACGAAAACATGAATTTAACAATATAAAATAAATATGTTCCGTTCAAATTCTACCGAATTGCAACGTACAATGAACGTTTTTGATCAACATATTTTTAAAACACCGAAATTTTCAAACAGAAAGGGCACTTTCGATGTTAATATAGTATTTGCAACGAAAAGGGCAGTTTTCATCATAAAAGGGAACTTTTGGTCCTTTGAAGAAATTGAAAGTGGGGGGGGGGGGAGGAATGTGCCCTCGGCCCTATTCCCACACCCCTGGTGTTAACGGTGTATCAAGTTTGCTAATGCAATGCTATGCTTATATTGCAGATTCTTTAAATATTGACGTCCGGTGGTAGGATACTGAAAATAGTTTCTGCCGAAAGATGCTGTGTTTGCTGGCCTCTGCACTGCTAGTGCTGAGCAGTTATACAGGTATGAAATGGAAAAGGTCCAGTGAGGTGTTCAATTATGTACTTGAAGACATGTCAAACGAGTAGGTAGCGTGTCGTGTTTTGTGTATGAACTGCCTGAATTTTCACGAAAACAACGACCATATCTTCTTGTTTGAGTAAACCACTGATCTAGAAATAGGAGTAAACACACTGGAAGGGCCAGTATCTTAAGGACTTTTCTCGTCAATTCATTGTTTTTTATACTGTGTATTCAAGCGCGCGCGGATAGTAAGAATCTAGAAAGATAGATGGAGAATTTGGCACCTCGTTCGATATATAGAATTGATAGTAAATGGGACGTCTGTAGATGGAAGAGTCGAACGTTAATTTTATCTACTCGAATAGTTGCGATATAGACCCATTGCACTGACGTCACAAATCCTTAGAGTGTCCTCCAGATGCTCCCTAACAATATCTGTTGGGGTGCAACAACCACATATAGCGCGAAAATTAACCATTTTAATACAAAATTATTATAAAGTTTTACAAAATTTGCTTTGTTTACAAAAGTTATATTATGCATAGATTACCAATGTGTCCTCCAGATGCATCATCACTGGCGCTATGACGTCATGTGCAAGGGGTCTATAGCTAGCCATGCAGTATGAGAAAACTTTAGTTTAGGTTTCTTGCTGCAGTAATGTATGAACTTGTCTTTGCTTCCCCTCCAGCAAGAACAATATTTATAACTAATAGAGCTATTCAGTTGAAAAAAGGATAGTTAAATTTAGTTTAGATTTCCTGCTGCGGCACTTACAGTTTTGAAATTGATAGAGCTGTCCAGAAAAATAGTTAGATTTTTTGTGAATATAATTTCGCTATTTGGTATTTATCTCTAGGAGCTTTACCCGCCGAGCCGTTCATTTTATATTCAAACATTACCAATATCCATGCTTTGGACTTAAATACGATGGCGCAGACTAACGTGTTGGGAGGACTGGACCGAGCCATTCCTCTAGGAGTGGATACAGTGTCTAAACATATGTACATTGGGGAGTACACCCTAGGTCGTATATATCGTTCAAATTATGACGGTTCCAGTAAAAAACTGATCATGAAAGACGTCGAGAATGTGGAAGGAGTAGCCATCGATTGGATCGGTCGTAAGTTGTATTGGACGACTTATAAATCCGAGACGATTGAAGTCGCGACGCTTGATGGGAAGTACAGAAAGGTTTTGATATACGCAGGTCTGGAGTACCCACGGGGTATGGCAGTTGATCCTATTGCGGGGTATGTTGTTTGAGTTGTCTGTGCTAGTGTAGGTAGTGCCAATAATATTTACAAGCTTTTGTTGGCGGGGATGCAACTACTTGAAAATAATAAAGAGAATTTCGACGTTTGGGGCGAAGACCCTTCCTCGAAACTCCAGACGAAGAGCCTTTGCTCGAAACGTCGAAATTTCCTTATATTTTTCAGGAAGTTGCATCCCTACCAACGAAAGCTTGTTAACATGTATTTTGAGGTAGTTTGGTGAATCAAACCTCAAACAAGCACGTCTCTCTAATAAGCTCCACCCCCGCCACTGTAGTAAGTTCTCGATTCGCAAGTTGTATTGTTTTGTTCGGAAATGGAGAAAAGCCATACGCAAATTGCGATTTGCGACCACATAATTCTAGCACTGACATACTTAATTTCTTTACTCTGTCTAACCCTGGTCTAACCCTGGATGCTTTTGCTCGTCAAGGGAAGAGTCTTGCGCATGGATGTGTTAACCAAACTATCTGCCAGTGTGTTTTGTTAAACCACTAAGCTGCAATGCACCAAATGCGCCCTGCGTTATTAGTTTACTCATCAAAGGACGAGTCTTAATTGCATCTCATTGAGTTTACCAAACGATATGCCAATGTGTGTTGTTGAAGCTGTAATGAACCAAAATTTGCCCTTCTTTACTTTTTACACTGCCTAGCACCAGACGTGTCAAGAGGAGAGTCTTGTGACCTAATGACTTAATCTCCGTACAATACAGTACAACATAATACATGTATTTTTCTTACTAGCTATCTCTTCTGGTCAGACTGGGGTGCTGCAGCAGCTATCGAACGATGCTCCTTAGACGGCACTAACCGCGTATCATTGGTCAAAGATAAGATCACCTGGCCTCAGGGAGTTACCCTTGACACCAATCAAGAGCTAGTTTACTGGATTGACGCCCACCATGATACCATCAGCTCTGTGGATTACAGTGGTAACAAAAGGAAGCTGATTTTTGAAGACGCCTCTCTTGCTTTGTCAAAGTTTCATGGGTTTGATTTAGACATTACTGGAAATTTCGTATATTTTACGGACTGGCTGGCTAACGCTATATACGAAGTGAAACTAAGCTCTGGCGTTATAGTTCGGACTATTTCTGTACCAACGACTAATGTTATTAAAGGAGCTATGGGACTTCGAGTAGTTGACAGTTCAAAACAACAAGCCGGTTAGTATACTGTATCTACAGGGTGTCTAAAAAAACGCTATGGAAATTGAACAGGCTGTCGTGCATCATCAACTTAGCTAAACAATTAAATTTTCACATAGGACGAAATAGCTGTTATTTAGCTTTTCAATTATACCTTTTTTAAATCATAACGATGAGAAATGGCCACATACTCGTCAAAAAAATTGCCGGTGGAAATCACATTCTTCCACCGTTGGGATTGAAAATACATGAATTATGCAAAGCAAATCAATCCAAATTCCAAAAGCAACGTGAGTCAGCTGCAAGCTGTTTGTTTCGTAAAACGTTTTGGTTACGAATGTTCTCTGTTCAGTGGTTAATTGAACCATGTTTAATGACGTTCTTATTAAGTTCTTTGTATGTTTGCATGGTGATAAAACACATAACAGTTTTGTTTGTGGAAACACCACGTAAATTTATTACTGCAAAGCTTTCGATCCGTAAGCCCGGATCTTCATCAGTGCCACAGAGTATAGATATACAGAGACGGAACTCGAGGCAAATCATGTCCCCACTTTTTTAATGCGCATGCGCGACCCTCTGGCAAGAGTCATGCACATTTTTTATCAGGAAAAAGATAGGGAAATGCAAAATTTTGGCGGTAAAACGGCGATGTTAAGCGAAGTACCCGATCAATCTTCATTTTCTGCACGAATTTTGCAAATAAATGGCACACTGCGTCTTCACGGCAAAAGGGAATTGAACGAATACTATTTTTAACGGCGAAAATGAGAAAAGACGCCAGAAGGGGTGAGAATTTCTGGCAATCTGAAGATTCGATTCTGCAGACCTGAACTCCAGTTGGAACTTGGCAACTTTATATGTGAGTTTTTTTCTCTAGCTAATATATATCAAATTATCAATATATTTTGTCAAGTGAAGTGCAATGTTGTATCAAAAGATTGTCGTTAATTTAAACATTGCATAAACAGCATTCAGATACGAAAATGAACATCAACACGAGCATCAACATTCAACATTCAACATGGACTGATGGAGTCAAGGACATGGAGCCACAGTACTCTAAAGTACTCAAATAGACTTTTAATTTTTAACTTAAATGTTGAACCAATGGTGGAGGATTGGTCAAATTATACTTTATAGTGATTCCCCTAGATTAGTGCATTGGTTATTGTGCAATGACAACCTTTTTTGGCTCTCAAAAGTGAATAACATGGTACAGTGACTTGGCATGTCTGAGAAATTTTCTCAGACATGCCAAGTCACTGTGCATATGTTTATTGTAATAATCTAATCTGTTTATTTATTTTGTTTATTTTGCTTTTCTAGAATGGCAATCATTCCTGTTGAACTACATTATTCATTACAATGAATCAGATGCAGAATCTTACAACTACAGTATGGTTAATTTGTTCAAATCTGTTCACCTGATAGGATAAACCTGAGACTATTTGATCTTATTGGAGTGCGTACCAATTTTACATAGCCTCTGGCAATGTTTATATATATAATTAATCTCGAGTAGTAGAGATCCTGTACCCCCTGAGGGAGTGACCCTACTACCTGGATCATCTCACTATACAAGACAAGCTCAAAACTTTTCATGCAAGCACTTGCATGGCAGCTACAATAGGATATGAATATAATTTTGCCTTGCCACCTGGAGACCATTATAAACAGGCCTTATGAGGGCCACAAGTTCATCAGTACTTCACACTATTAAGTGTCACCCTCTTTAAATAAAGTCTCTATCTATCTATCTATCTATCTATCTATCTATCTATCTATCTATCTATCTATCTATCTATCTATCTATCTATCTATCTATACCTTCAGCTCCTCAGGCTTGGGCCTGCTCCCCAAATCCAGGCCCCCTTGGAAGATCTACTGTAAAACTAGCAATGTTACTTGTTAACCCATTGAGTTACATTGCACCCTACTTTATTATTTTACTGTCTAACACCAGACGATCCAGTTAACCCATTGAGTTGCATTGTGCCCTGATGCACCCTACTTTATTATTTTACTCTGTCTAACGGCAGATGATTTTACTCGTCAAGGGGAGAGCACACTTTAACAGGGAAAGGATTAATTGGGAATAGTTTCTCTTTTAATGGAAACTCTTTATCAATGCAATGCAATTATTCATAGTATTTAACTTTTTATATAAAGCAAAGAGTAAGAGGACAGTAACATGGATCATTGGCTACTTTTTTATTTAGTATTAATTTTCATGACAGTATATGGGATCAACTATAAAGAAAACAGTTATTGCCTATTTGGAGTGAGTTATTAGACATTATTTAGAATATAGCAATATTCATTCACATTGAACACATATTTATTTAGTTTTTGAATAATGGCCTTACACTGCAAAAATCCTTGCGTAAAATCAACTCAAATATTTGAGTAAAAAAATGCATTCACAGTGACACACAAAGTTTGAGTAAAAATAACTCAAATTTCTGAGTAAAACAAAATGCATTCACAGTGACACCTAAAACGTGAGTAAAGTGCGATTTTTACTCACTGTGAGTAAACTACCGGTTCTACGCAAAACAATGAGTAAAATTTTACTCAAGTTTCTGAGTAAACCAAAATCCATTCCCAGTGACACCTAAAACGTGAGTAAAGTGCGATATTTACTCACAGTGAGTAAAAGAAGTGCCTTACTCAAAACAATGAGTACAAAACTACTCAAATCTCGGAGTAAAACAATAACGTTAAAATTTTAAACATTCTCCTTTTTCTCAGCAAGCTGAGTACCTCTTTACTCATTGTTCCGAGTAAGGCCATGACTGAAAGAAATAATATAAAGTCAGATACTATATAGTCATTTCAACACAACTGTGTCTGTGAAAATAATATATTTTACCAATATATAGAACAAATTATATTAGCATATACAGTTAGTAACAAACAAAGTGATTTTGACCTACAATACATGCATGGTTGTACGCATGCACTCCGTTCAGAGTAAAGATGCAACATTCGAACCAAACCGATGCAAATACTGCAATGAGCTATATACGATACCTACTGTATATACAGTGCAAGAGAGATTGCCCTCTCCTACTGAGTTCAGATTTTATTCAGTTCATATTACTAGTATATGTCATTCCTAATTTCATTAATTGACTTCCTCTCGAAATCAGAATGTGAGTTCATGCCATCAGTTCCACAATTCCACCCTTAAGTCTTAACTCGAAAAAGTACTGGTAAGCAAGTCAGCGACAATAAAGATTTGGAAAATTGCATTCAACGGTCGCCAGACAACCAAGACAAGAAATAGCAATTCTTTTGGATCTTTGCTTGACACGAAACTGTCTACATCTTAACTTTCCTACATAAATAGAAGGAACATATAATTAGAAATTAATATTGCAGAATGGACTACATTAATATTGCAGAGTGGACTACACATGGTTATTATTTGAGTATAAGGAAATGCCAAAACCACATATAGTATAATATACAATAAACAATATAGTATAATATAAAATAATAAATAAAATAAATACACACTGCCACTTTAAGAGTTAGACTGAATAATATTCTTTCAAATTTCCAGGTTAATGTTTCATATGAGTTTTTATACCTAATCATTTCTAAAACACTTAAATATTTTTATATTATTCATATATGTCAATAACTGTAGTCCCCAATTAATCACCCACCATGCAAATCAGCCACCAAAGAGGGGTGCCGGCGAAAGGCGGCTTCTCGCCACACTCGCACAGCAACACCAGAGTGCAAAAGTATAGACATATATGTTGCTCAAAACTGGAGAATATAATTCTTTCAAATTGCCAGGTTAATCAATCATTTCAAAAAAACTTTCATTTTTTTAATGTCGTGCACATATGTCTATATACAAGTCCCCATGCAATATCAGGCGGCCAATTTGTTAATCAGCCACCAAAGAGGGGTGCCGGCGAAAGGCGGCTTGTCGCCACACTTGCACAGCAACACCATGCAGAGTGCAAAAGTATAGACATATATGTTGTTCAAAACTGGAGAATATATAATTCTTTCAAATTGCCAGGTTAATTAATCATTTCCAAAAAGCTTTCATTTTTTTAATGTCATGCACATATGTCTATATACAAGTCCCCAATATCAGGCGGCCAATTTGTTAATCAGCCACCAAAGAGGGGTGCCGGCGAAAGGCGACTTGTCGCCACACTTGCACAGCAACACCAGAGTGCAAAAGTATAGACATATATGTTGTTCGAAAAGTTCTGGAGAATATATAATTCTT